TGATCAAATTCCCAGAAGCAGCCTTGGATATTCAAACAATTATTTCACTGCATTGCTGCTAACTAGTTAGTGCAGAAGGATGATTTCTACTCTTCGGGCAATTAGTGTCTCTTTCACTAATCCTCAGTTTCCTCATCTGTAAAATGGGGAAGGGGTTGACAGATGGTTTTGGGGTCCCTCTCTGTCCTGTCTGTCTTATTCTGTAGCTGCATGGACTGGTGGAGTGTTAGTAGCCTGGCCCTTGGATAAAAGAAAGCACTCCAGTAATGTGGAGTTGAACTGTAGTTTGGCGGAGAGGATGGGGCCACCCAGGAACAAAACAGTGTGCTTTGGCTATAATCAGAGGGCAGATGTCAGGTAATAAGCAGCACGACTAAGAAGTTTGTCAAGTTATTGTTGCGAGCCTTTGCCTATGACTCAAATTAAAGTAGAAGGGTGAAAAGTGAACCAGTGTCAGTGGGTGAGACCTTTAGGAGTTTCCATATACTCTGTATCTGAGCAAAGATTGATCTTTGTAAACAGTTGTTCTCTGAAGAGTACCCGGGAAAGAGGAAATGGGCCCAAAGTCCAGTGTTTGTTGTCAAGGGAATGTTTAATTGTTGTCTTTGGAGACATAGGACTTTGTCCTCATTCTCTCTCAGCCAATAGTGTCCCACTTCCGGGAGGCCGGGTCCGCCTTTTCATGTGGGTTTTTCCTCCTTTAATTATTGCTTTTGTGAATCACTATAGGTGTCATGCTTGTGAACCCCAAAATATTAGCCTTATAAAGGAGATTCAGAGAGCATGTATTCCATCCCCTCCCTCACCTACTTTTATAATCAGTTCTAAGGACAGAATCAAACATATATACTCTCTATAAAAGGGAACGGTACAGCACCACTAGATTCCCTGGAAGGAGAGTCATGCTTTCCATGTATAAGGACTATTAGCTTCAGGGAGACACAAAGGAAAGAGTCTAGGAAATAGGGATGATGAAGTTGTCAGAACTTTTAAAAACTATGTGAGTAGCTTTCCTCAGTTTTCCATTACTTCACATGTATTAAATTACTGACATTGATATAATGTTCATTAATAGACTTAATTCCTTGTATTCTGAAACACAAATGAGTATGTACCTAGATGTATGGTAATAAAATATTACATTTTTAAACTCCCGTTTTCCGTTTCAACATAACTTCCTGTGTCAAATTTTTAAAAAACTGCCTTTTTGTGTTGTCAGCAGTGTGAGCAGGTTGTGACCCCTCCACAATTGTCAGGTGCAGGCCTAGAGGTAGAGACAGCACCTGACCGTTCCCCAGGAGCGTTGAGTAACTCTAAAAGCAGAGGCTGCTCTGGCTGAGCAGCTGGTGCTTGAGTGAGCATTTCAGGGCATGGTGCGGTGTAGGTGTGTGTGTGTATAGGTGTGTTCTGAGTTAGAGTGGAGTCCTTATCTCTGTTTTCAGAGTGGGGCCATGTTGTTCAAGTCCTCGCAAGCTATGGGAGTTGGCTGCTGTTTCCACTGGAACTGCTGAGGCAATCAGTGACTAATGAGACCTTAGGGGTATTGCAATGAGCCTGGCAGCTCTCCTCTGTACCAAACAAGTGGTCGGTAACTTTCAAGAGCTCGCTTCCTTGGTGGCTGTTTAAGAAGTGCTGTTATTCATTTAAAATAGGTACCACTTGCAAATGGTATGTTCTCCCACAGAAGGAAACTGAACATTTGGGTACTGTGTTGGATACCAATAGTGTCTCCACCATGTGGGTCCCACGTTCCATTATTCCTCTGCTCCTGAAACACGTTGAACTTTAGCCTCGGCAGAACAAAGTTTGGCATTTGATAGCACTGGTGGAGGCATATCTGCCTCTTCCTTGCCAGAGACTCCAGTTCCCCTGAAGTACCAGGTACTGAGGGAAAGAAATTTGTGGTGGTTTGCTTAGCCCTCTTCTCATTACCCAACCCTTTTTTCTTTTAGCTCAGGATTTGGGTAGGGTTACAGGGAGAAGGGAAGAGGACGAAGACAAATGCAAAGCTCAGACAGGGCTGTGCCCCAACAAAGCTGAAAAGCTGGCGGCATTTGTCCTTTTCTGGATTCTTCATGCTGCCCACTTTTCCTCCTGTTACTAAGAACTGTTGTTAACGCTAGGCTGGTGGCTCAGGCCTGCATGCCAGCACTCTGAGAGCCCAAGGCGGAGGATCACAATTTTAAGCCCAGATAAGTAAGACCATGTCTCAAAATTTTAAAAAAGGTTGCGGGGGGAGCTGGAAAAAAGCTCAGTACAAAGACCCAGGGCTCAATTCCCAGTACTGGAAAACAAAACAAACAAAAAACAAAACAAAACAAATCTGTTGTTAAGATAGGCTCTAAAGTGAAGCACATGCCTAAGGATATACATAAATTAAAGACAGCTGCTTAAAGAGTTTACCCTTCTAGAGAGTTCTGCATTGGAGCCAGGACAGATACCTCAAAAGTGAAGGCATATCAGCAGACTTCAAGAATTATTAGCAAACTAGAAGCAGAGCATTGCTGGGACCTTGCAACCCTTCCTGCTCTGCCTGGGAATCAGGCTTGTCTATTTGGTAACTTCTACCAAACCCAATGGGTCTGTAAGCCCTTAAGAGACCCCTGGAGAGTTTTCATGGTTCAGGTCTCCAGAATGAGATCAGATGATGCAGTTCCTAGAAGCAATGAGTAACAATAAAAAGAATTTGGAACCTAGTGTCAGTCATTATTTCAGTACTAAGAGTATAGAGATGAATAATACAATTTTCTTTCAAAGGGTTCCATCTATGGAGAGGAAATGAGATCAATTTACTATCAAAGGAATGATGATTAATGGTCTCCTTCCCTGGTTACACCAACCTAAAGCAAAACCAGATCCATCCCACTTGTGCTGCAAGAACTTCAGATCCATGTACTTTCTTCTGAGTGTTCCTAAAGTTCCTAGAGGTTGTAAATATACCTGCAAGTTCACCCTTTGACCTCCCTGGTGAAGTTGCCTTTTTACTCCTTTCTTTTATCAGCTCCCTGTGAGAGGCCTATCCCTGCCATGCATCCTCTTCTTTTCTGGTAGAGCAAATTGTGTGAACTGATGCTTCACTTGCTCCAGAATTGTCCCTCTGAGGTCCTCATGTGGAGGAAAGTACTTTGCCCCCTGCTCCCGCCCACTACACCATCCCTGTCAACCTTGTAGTGAATGGGGGCAGGGGGAGGGGTGGAGAGAAATAAGCCCAGCTTTAATTATCTATATATGTTTGTCTGCATAGAATAATGGAACAAAACCTGTAACTGACAACTGAAATAATAAGATACGGTGATAGTTCCCTAGATATAAGATAAATATACAACAATTATAATGAACTTCTTTACACTGCCTTGCTATGTGCTTTCTGCGTCATAGATTACATGGAGCAGTCTTTAGGGTTTTGTGTGTGTGTGTGTGTGTGTGTCTGTGTGTGTGTGTGTTTATTTGGCATTGGGGATTGACCCCAGGGCCTCACACAAGCTAGGCATGCACTTTACCATTGAACTATACTCCCAGCCCTTTTATTCAAATTTTTATTGTCGTGTCCTCTCCCTAGGACCCAAAGGGGTATAAACAGCACATACTGTCCTCCCCCCCACTGCTCCATGGCCTTTGTATCTCTCTGCTGCTTTTTATCATGCTCTTCTATTAGGATGAATCCTTTCCCAGGGGTATCGCAGGCTCTTATACAAATAGGCTTCCTTCAGGCCACTCTCCAGCTTTTCATACACACCTGGACGTATGGAAGACAAGTCAAAGCAACTTCAGCCATCAATTTGGGATCTCTGTTCCATGCTTGCCTCCATAAGGGTAAATACTGGATACAGTGAATCTATAAAGAAGTGGGCAACTCCCCTGAGCATTGGATAGGATTGAAGAGGATTATTCAGAACTCAGAGAAGGCATTGCTGAGCTGAGTCTAAAAAATGACTAAATTTTCTCCCTGCAATCAGAGGCCTCCATGTCAGACTCCACTGTTCATCTGTTGTTTGACCTTGGTGTTTAAGCAACCCAGGCTTAAATAATTTCTACTTCACACGGTCTTGACAATGACTTAAGAAAGTCATATATATGACAACTTCATAAAATAAGTGGTAACACTGCTTATTATAATGATTACGATGACTTCAAGTGCAGTTGTTTACTGGAAGGCAGTTGTGCTCAGTTGTCACCTTCTCAGATGTGGGCAGATTGAATACTTGGAAGTAGACGAATGACATCAGAGGGCTGAGGATTTGGAAAAGAGTAACACAGTTGTAGATCCGACATCAGTGTAGATGAGTGCTCAGGCTTGAGAAACAATTGGCATTTTTCCTGAGACTACTATAGGATATGCAAAGTGATCTGGTGGCTTTAGAACATCATTTCTATTCAGGAAACGAATTTAGTTTATGAGTGCCTGCAATAGCAATGTTGCGTTAATGTTGGAGATAATTATTTTTGCAACTGTGCTTCAAGGAACAAAAGGTTGGTTTCTCAGGGTTAGTCTGTTGTGGACAGGTAAGGATGAAAGGGAGGAGAAGCCTAGTTGATATAGTGAGGATATTTCTGAAGATAGTAGCTGGGAGGTTGAAGTGGGTGGGAGGTCATAATACATGTCACATAACCTTCTCTAGAGGTACTTTCTTGGTTCTATGAAATCTATGGAATAACTTGCTTACCATATTCTCATGAAACCAAATTATATGGACAAATAGAAAGTATAGTATAAAAGCGTCACTGGAAGATCACATTTTACTCTCCAGACTTCTTCCAAGGCAGTTCTTGGAGGAAGCCCATAAGATCAGAGACAGTAAGTATCTTATGGATCCAGACTTCTGCACATGAATTATGAAAACTCAATCTGGTCGTGAAAAAGAAAGAGTAAGAACCACGGACATCAAAAAGAGGCAGTTTTTGGTCAAAAGGCCATGTTTATAAAAGTTTGCCTCCTGAACAAATTTCTAATCCTTTCACATGTTAATATTTGACCCAATCATGCCCAGGAGAAAGGTGAACACTCTCAGTTTGTCCAAGAGCAGTGCCCCTGGTTTGCATGTTTCTGCCAAGTCTGGGGATCTGTATATCTGTTCTCCCCACCCCTGTATATGAATATTATCTCATCAGAACCAGGAGGTTCACACAGCTGGAACCCATTTCCAAGGAACAAACATTTGAACCCATCTCCAGTTGGAAGGGAACAGCCAGACACTTGTAAGATTCTTCCTCCCGGGTTATCTGTTCTATTTGTTTGTATCTATACTATTTCTAGCCATTCATCCATTTGAATGAAGCCATTTGTCCTCTTTTGGGTCCTTTGGGCCCAAGTTTGTGAATAGGAAAAGAAATGAGTAAGATAAAATGTAAAACAAAAAAAGGTCTTTTTGGGGGATAGCCTGCATGTGGATGAATTTCTAATTTAAGGAGAATTTATAAATGGTAATAAAAATCTCCAAAGGTCCAGAAAGCCATTTGCTGAAGGGCATCTGAAATAGTCCTGCTCCTGTCCACATTATAAACATTATATGTGGGTTGACAAGAAAAGGAAAAGAAAATATGATTTTAGCATTGTCTTTTAGTCTTCCCCACTAATTTCTTTCCTAAGAAAAATTTGGGATCACTTTGAAAACAGTTTCAGATTCTTTTGATCTTGCATTCCAAAACCAAAAGAAAGTATACTGACAGGATGAAAGGAAGAAAGAAGGAAGAGAGCTAGAGGAGGAATAAGATTTGCTGTTATGGTTTCCCTTTGGGGGATGGTGAGGCTATATTTTTGAAAATGATAGGCATAGTTTACTCACATAAACTGAAAAGTTAACTCCTTGGTATGTTAAGGTGGATGTAGCTCGTGCATTTGGGAACAAAAAGAAAATATAGATTCTGTGAAGTTTACAGGATCAGTTTGAGACTATAAATGAGTCTGAAGAGCAGCTGAGACAAATTCCCCTGACAGAAGTCAAATGAGTTACTTGTGTGGATATAGAAGGATATGTGTGGATGAGTGAGGGTCAGCACCCACAACCTAGGCAGATTCGTTTCTGCACTGCAGGCAATCTGGCCCTTCCTTGTTTTCTGACAGTTCTGCTTTACCTGGCTTTAGAGAAATATCACATTGAATGTAGGAGTGAGGAAGTTGTGAGCAGATGTTAGACATTATTAGTCATGTTGTATGCTGACTGGGAGTAGTTTCTGGATGTATCAGGGAATCAAGTTTGCAATAAGCTTGCGTAAACCTTAGGTGCATTGATACAAAATAAATGTACAGGTTCTGCAAATCAAAAACAGAGTTACCTCTTTGCCTTGCCAGACCGAGATCTGAGAGCTTTCAAACTCTGAAAAGCAAGAGATTTTTAGGAAGCTAACCTGCTTGGTGGTGTCTGTCTACCTTAACTATAGATGGTATGTCAGTTTAGCCAACACATCTAGCCTGAAGGGCTAAAGGCATCTCAGTGAATTAGGGCCACAGGTCACCCTGTCATCTGTTTTTCCAACTGGTGCCTTGTGCCACCAACTAAACTTATACTAATTTGTCTTCATACTTCCATGTCATTGAACTTTTGCTGCTGAAACTAGTAAAGGCTCTGGTATGCTTAGTGAAAACTGTGGACTTTCAGACCTTTAGAGTTTGCAGCTCTCTCATTTTATAGATGAGGAAATTTAGGCCTGGAGATGAAAATGAAGTCAATCATTAAAATAATATTAAAGGTCTATAATGAGGCCAGCACTGATTTCAAGTGAATAATATGGTCCCTGCCCTCTTGTAGATTATACACCAGTGGGAAACACTGACAAGTAAACAGGGAGTTGTTTGCCCAAGATCACATGAGTAATGACTTACCTGGAAATAGCACCCATGAAACCTTGCAATATGTAAATATTTTGTAATGTCCTACGGTCAGATATGAAGCTTTGTGGCTTTTGCTCTGACACTCGCACCTAGTGAGGTGTCTTTGGTCTTAATATATAAAGCACAGAAAGTTTGGACCTACCAGCTCAGACGCCCTTCCATAACCAATAAAAGCTCCACATCTTACACATTCACATTTCCTACCTTACTCGGACCAATTGTCCTGCTCCAGGGAAGACATTGGCAATATTCCTATCCTCTACTGCCACCTAATGACTCTTTTGGGTACTGTGGCCTCTTGTTCTGTACTTTGTAATGTTTGAACTCTGGGATTCTATTTCACAATTACTTTTTATGTAAGAAGTCAATATTTGTTTAACTATAGAGTAAGAAATGTAATTGATTATAAATCAATGAAAACTTTACAAGATTTTCCAAAAAACTAGAAATAGAGGACACACCCAAGAGACTGAATACCCCACATGTAAAGGGAATGGCAGGTGGGTACTGTGGCAGCCAGCTGGGCAGCAGCTGTATGTGAATACTTTTTATTATTTTAAGGATGGCTGACTATTCTGCAATTATGTATTTCTTTCTCCATGAACTACCACGAACACATTTTCATTTGATTTCATTATGAATCACAATCTATATTGTTAATGGAAACTTTTTCAACTGCAATATATTTTAACATTGTGAATGACCAAAAAAATTCCCTTAGCATATAACAATTCTTCAGTAGTATACCAAAGCTGTCCTGGTTCTTATGAAATGGACTGGGAGGCTCAGTCCAATTGCTGATTAGAAAGAGGGTACACTTTGTCCACTGGGTCACATGCCTTCCACATCACCAATAGAACTCTGGATTCCCATGTCCTTCTAGACTCACAGTCATACTCCCAGGACTGTTAGCCACACTGCAGGCCCAGTGCGAGGATCCCTGGGCTTCTTAAGACCTACAAAAATGCTTGAGATGAAAATGTTTACTGATTTACCACAAGAGAAGTACAAAGTAAAATCTAATAATTTAATGTCTATTAAAATGTACCTTTTTTTTGGAGACAGCGTCTCACAAAATCCCCAGGCTGGACCAGGTGTAGTGGTGCATGCCTGTAATCCCAGCAGTCAGGAGGCTGAAGCAGAAGGATTTCCCTGAGTTCAAACAGCCTAGACTACATAGTAAGTTCAAGCCCAGCCTGAATTACATAGTGAGACCCTGTCTCACACACAAAAAAAATCAAACCCACAAAAACAAAAACCATAGCCAATCATAAATTAAATGGATTGTGGACAAGTAATTTAAAAAACTAAAAATCAGTTAAAATTTACGGTGAAAAGCCATTTTTATTGTTGGATGTGGGGGCATTCATAGATATTTAGTGTTATATGGAGTAGATCTATGGCAGTTTTTAAAGGGTCTGAATGGCCTTTGGAGTTTTCTCTAAAAAAATTAAAGGTATTGTCAGAAATAACCTTAAGTTCTCCAACCAGTATTCTCTTCTTGAGGAGAAGCAGAGTCACTACAGATCACTACCCCACTCAGTCTTGATGGGGAACATCAAAGTCATGAAGCGTTCTTATACTGATCATGCCATAGCTGTGTCTTCTCTAAACATCCACTGGGAGCGCTGCCACTGCATACCCTGCCTTAATGTTAGGGGAAATGGCTCTTCTGTGGGCATTGCATGGTCATGGGATCGGGTGCTTCCTTACTTGTTAATGGCACTAGCAGCTGAATACCTGATCTTAGTACCGTTTGCTCTGGGTCTCGTATTCTATCACAACTGTGATAGTTAACAGATTGGGTCAACTAGATTAAGAAATGCCCAACTAAATTGCATCAGCAGGGCTGGGGATTTAGCTCAGTGGTGCCAGTGGCTGCCTTGCAAGCATAAGGTCTTGAGTTCAATCCCTAGTACCCCCCCCCAATTGGATCAGCATAGCTCTGGGTGTGGTTTAGGGGATTTATTGAAATTTCCTCCAACCAGTGGAGTGACAGCAACCAATGGGTTGCTTTTATACGACCTAAATGGTATAAAAGGGAAATGAAGAAGGCAGGCTCACTTCTGTTTCTTTGGAGGAGATCCAGCCTTCACCTGCACCTTGGACATCGTTTTCTCATTTGCAGCACAGACTCTTCAGCCTTCCATTGCAGACCCTTAGGCCTCCTGATATGGACTTGCATGGAACACTACAGTGAGGTCCAGGACTTTGACTGGATCCTTTGGCTCTCCCGTGTGCAGACAGACCTTTTGCAGTCTTCCACACCTGACTCTGTGGGTGGCCATTGTAAGCCAATCTTGTAAATTGTTATGTGTTTGTATTGATAGGGAAAAGTTTTAAAGTAAGTTTAGTAGATTAGCTATTAAAGTAGTTGTGAAAGCAAAATAGGTAGTGTATCCCTTTAAAAGCTTGCCTTAGTGCCCATTGCTTTTGTTGTTTAAAGTGAAGATTATATAGCTCCTTTGATCTGTAGCTCCACTGTAGATAACATCCTAGCTCTGAAGAACAAAGTGGGAATCCTTGAACAAACTTGTGATATATGTGCCTTAACTGTCATTTGTTTAGGACTGTAATCAGTTACAGAAACCACCTGTGTCTAACCATTAAACAGGAATTGGAACTTTATTTACTTAACAAAGACCACTAGGGATGAGATAATGGCTGACAAAAGTATAAAAGGTGATGGGCAAAGAACACAGGGCGTGGACTCTGACCAGACCAGTTTCTGGCAGTCCTGCCTGCTTGCTAGTAAACTTTTATTATTTTACCCGAATTTTGTGTCTCCCTGTATTTCTTTCCATGATTCCAGAACAGTATATCTTATATTAAATCTGTTTCTCTAGTAAGCACTGACTGATACAGATTTTGGTACCAAGAATGGGGTCATTACTGTGACTATACCTGCTCATGCAGTTTAGGAACCTTTGGGACTGGCTTGTGGGAAGAGTTTGGAAAGGTTTGGAGATGCCAGCTGAACGAGCAGCCCTGGAATGCTTTAAGTTGTACTTGATGGGAGCTTCTGGTCAGAGCTCAGAAGACAAGAATACTTTTAGAAATGCAGCAGGTAAAGACCAGGCTCAGGAGGTTTCTACTGGGAAGGACTGCATTGGCTGTTGGACTCCAGACCATGTGTGCTATATTTTGGCAAAAAATTTGTCTGCATTTTGCTCTTGTCCAAAGACTGTCTGAAACTGAGGTCAAGTGTGGTGCACTAATTAAACTTGGAGAGGAAATGTCAAGGCAGTCTAATGTTGAGGCAGTTGGCATGGCTACTGTTGAGGGCTCTTAGCCAGATCTGTGAGCAAAGAGTCTAGCAGAATAATTTAAAACATTTTTAATTTGGCCAGAAAGAAAGCTCAGGTAGCAAAGAAGGAGCAGAGGAGAACTTGGTTGCTGAGAAAGAAGAGGACACTAGAAAAGACGGTCTGAGGACATCACAGGAACCAGCAGGACCTCACCCCTTGTAGCCTCAAAATTGCAAATGTAAGACTTTGCTTTGAGTAGAGTGCCAGAGCACCACGTTCCAGAATGGCAGTGCCCTAGGGAATTTGTCCCTCTGGATTGGGTTCATAGCACCAAGCAATCCAGGTACTCAACCCCTACAGTCAAGAGACAAGGAAGCCTGGGTACTGCTCCAGCTAGCAGCAGACCTTGGCATCATCCACATGGTGCTGGTTCTAGGTGCATACAGAATGCAAGAGTTGTGGGGTCAGGAAGGCTTGCACCCAGATTTCAGAAGAAGGCCTGGGAGGCCAGGCAGTGTGCCACTGAGAGGGCAGTGTGTGAGGCTGTGAGTGTTAAACCAAAGGTACAGTAGAGAGCCTGGGAGGTTGGAGAACCCAGGATGTGAATCATCTGAGGAAAACTGCAAGGAGGGAGCAGAGCCAGCCCAAGAGAGAAGACATGGGAGCTACAGCCATCGACAGTGTTGCAGGGGCAGAGCCATCCAGGCCCTTTGGAGGCTTGCCACAGATTGCCCTGGATGCTGGAAATGGAACCATGGGAGTTAATGTTTTCCCTGCTGGATTTTGGACTTGGTTTGGTCACATTCCTTTTTATCCTCCTATTTATACCTTTTGGAATGATAATCTTTATGTTTATCTTGTGCCATTGTATATTGGAAGTGCTTAACTTTCTTTCATCTGTACAGGGGCTCGCAGCTAAGAGTTTGCCTTAAATCTCAAAGGAGACTTTGAACTTGGACTTTTTAGCAATGAAACTGTTAGGATTTGGCAACTCTTAGAAATGGACAAAATGCCTTTTGTGTAAAGGGATGTGCATGAGTTTTTGAGGGGCCAGGGGCAGATTGTTATGACTTGTGTCTAGATGTCCCCCCAAAGCCCCATGCACTCATAGGTGGGGCTTTTTGGAGCTGTCTGGACCTCGGGTGTGATACTAGGATTGGTGATGCTGGATTAAGGTTGCCTGACCCTAGGTGTGGATGGCAATGCCAAAGGTGGGTAGCCCAGATGAACATAAAGAGACAGAAAGAAGGCAGGCTGCTTCTGTTGCTTCTGCTGTTGCTTGTTGCTTGCTGCCTTCTGCCTGCCCTGCTATGCCATGGACTGTTTCTCCTCTGCAAAGCCCCTCTGCTATGCCACCCTGCCTTGGAGTGAGCAGACTATGGAATGAAACCTCTACAAACTGTGAGCTGAAACAAACCTTTCTTCCTTTAATTTGTGTGTTGTATATTTTGTCTCAGCAATGAGAAAAGTTAAATCAAGGCTTTGCGTGTGCGTGTGTGTGTGTGTGTGCGCACACACGCATGTGTGTAGTATGGGGGAATAAATCCAGGTCTCATGCTAAGCTGTATCCCCAGTTCTTTTTAAATTTTGATACAGGTTCTCACTAAGTCACTAAATTGCCCAAGCTTAAACTTTCTGGAATCAAACTTTCAATCTTCCTGCCTCAGCTTCTCAGAGTGCTGGGATTACAGGTATTTACCACCATGCAGTTACAGAAAGTCATTTTTATCTCAAGTGAATCATTTAAAAACAGACTTCCAATTACAACCAATGAACTCTACAAAATTAAGAGGAGACAATTGTGTCTACTATAACTCATACAAGTCATTCATTATTTTATCCTGATTGAAGAAAGTAGAGGAAAACAAGAAAAAATGAAAATGGTAAAAATAATAATTGTCAACATTTACTGAGTACTTCCTATATGTTAGGCATTGTAATAAATACTTTTCATTAATTTTATCATTTACTATTCACAACATTTTAACAGATAGATGTTATTATGATCATTTAACTTATGAGGAAATATGCTAAGAAGTTAAAGAATTTCACTGAGCTCACTCAGTGTTTAGTCAGCTTTCTGTCCCTATGACAAAATACCTGAGATAATTGAGTTAAAAAGAGGAAAGGTTTATTTTGTCTCACTGTTTCAGAGGTTTCATTCTGTGATTACCTGGACCATTATATCTGCACCTGTGAAAGCAGAACATCATGGCAGGAGAATATGGCAGAAGAGCTGTTCACCTCCTGGCAGCACAGGAGCAAGGGGTGGGGACTAGAGTCACATTATCCCCTTCAAGGGTACACCCCCAGCACCCAGCTTCCTCCTACCAGGCCTTGTCTCTGAAACTTCTACCACTTACCAGTGGCACCGCCCTGGGAGACGAAACCTTTAACAATGTGTCTCTGGGGGGTGTTTAAGACACAAACTGTAACTGTTAGTGTGGCATGCCTAGGGCTTTGAGACCACAGCATAAAATGCAAGTTCTTATTGAGAACTTCTTTCAGTGTGCAATGACATGGAAAAAATGGGACAAATCTTGACCAGAAAGCATGTGTTGGGATGATTTGGATTTTGAGTTCATTTTGTTTTCACTTGTTGCTGGAGCCCTGAAATGCACCCTCTGATGTCTAGATTGGACTACTGTCATCAGATATTTTTCTATGTCTTGTTTACTCGTGTGGTTAATATAGCTGAGGTGGAGGCCCCGCGCTCTCTCTCTCTCTCTCTCTCTTTCTCTCTCTCTCTCTCAACAGGGTCTTGTTGTGTAGTTCAGGCTGGCCTTGAACTCAATTTGTAGCCCAGGTTGGCCTCCAACTCACAATAATCCTCCTGCCTCAGCTTCCTGAGTGTTTGGGTCATAGGCACGTGCCACCATGACCAGTGAGGGTTTGTTCTTGCATGAATAATCTAAGTCTTCTCTGTAGTCAGTTTTCTTACTAAACCAAACTATATTCTTGGTCACAAAAAAGAAGAATGAGAGAAAATAAATAAAAACAGTATAAGGCTAGAGGGATCATCAGAAAAACCACCCAAGTACATTGTTCTGCTGGAGCTAAAACCCAGTTACTAAATGTTCATTCAGAGGCTGTGTCCACTGATCATAAAGAGAGAGAGAGAGAGGAGTAAATGAAGCATTGGCTTCCCCTGACAGCCTTCCTCCCCAAACCCTTTACTTCCTTTCTTCCTAGCACAAGATCTTGTGTTAACACAGAGCTTTATGTCTTTATGTGTAAAGGCAAAAAGATGGCCATGGATATAGGAGGTGACACTTAAAAGAATAATTATGTTTGCTATTGCTCAGTGTCACTAATCAAGGGATAGGCTTTTGAAGTACAGGTCCCTCATAAGCCATTTATTTCAGGCATTCAGACTGGAACTGGCCATAACCAAGCAGGATCTTTGAAAAGAAAGGACAGCAGTATCTGCATACATCAAACTAGGACTTCGCTGGGGCCAGCCCTTAGACTGCACTAATAAAAATGGATTCATTTGACTCTGAAAAATTGTCTTTGTTGTTTTAGCTTGCCCACTTCTTGAATGAGGGGATGGGTGTGCTCTGGTCAATCAACCTTGCCTCCCTGCAGGACTCAAGTGGGTATCACAGTTCATATTAATCCCAGGAGTGACCAGCAGATGACAGCATCTGGCTAGTCAGTGTGGAGTCATCCCACCTCCATCCCCTGAAACTTGGTAGAAAGAGGCAGTCTGGAGCAAGTCTTTAATATCCCGGGTTTTTTAAAAATATAAGATTTCCAAAGAAACCCCAATTTTACACCAGTAAAAGAATATTCATATGAGAGGGAAGGCTAGGCTGAAATTTTACTCTGTTCATTTCTCCACCTCCCTCAATTCCTTGGTGTAAGGTATGAAAATCAGTACATAAAATTTCTTTGACCTGAGTCTGTCCAAACCATTGGCAAATGGAGCCTCCAGGAACCAAAACACGCCCCAAAGATCATACTAAGTAATTACCTTAAAAGGCAAACAACTCCAGGTTTGTGTAGATTTGCCTTTACCTTTTTGTATATTCTGACCACACAATCTTGGGCAACTAAACACAATCAGTGTGGCCCTCACTTCCTGTACTGGCTACACAACTGCTCTCTAGAAAAAAGAAAGGCTTCTGTTTTCTGAGAAGTACACGTTGGCAAAATATTCACTCTTATGGAGACAAGGGTGGGGAAAGTTGGGAAATTATACAGGAAAAGAAGGGAGAAAGAGGAGACTATGGAGTCAGGAAAATGTCAGCTTGCTTTTCTCAGTGTCTCTCCAGTGCAGAGTTCTTACCATCCTTTCCTGGCCCTTTGCTTCCTCTCTAGGTGCCTCCAAGGTGGTGATGGCTCTTCAAAGGACCCATTCACTGCTTCTGCTCTTGCTGCTGACCCTTCTGGGGCTGGGGCTGGTGCAGCCCTCCTATGGCCAGGATCGAATGTACCAGCGATTCCTGCGGCAGCACGTGGACCCCCAGGAGACAGGCGGTGATGACAGTTACTGCCACGTGATGATGCAAAGACGGAAGATGACTAGTCCAAAGTGCAAGCCCTTTAACAGTTTCATCCATGAAGACATCTGGAACATTCGCAGTATCTGCAGCACCACCAATATTCAGTGCAAGAACAACCAGATGAACTGTCATGAAGGTGTCATGAAGGTCACAGATTGCAGGCAGACAGGAAATTCCAAGGCACCTAACTGCAGATATCGGGCTAGGGCGAGGACCAGACGAGTTGTCATTGCCTGTGAGGGTTACCCTCCAGTGCCTGTGCACTTTGATGCATAGATGCCATCCAGTATTGGTTACAGCCTGTGGCTAGCCACTAATTTAGACCTAGATGGCAATGAGTGATACATTTGAAAAGTCTCAGGCTCTGTTTCCTCTGCCCATTTCTTATGCTTCCTCTGTATAACCCATTCTATTAAATACATTGCATCCAAGAAAAACAGAGACATAAACCTATGAGTCTGAGTTTTTCTACAATAAGCTTCTTATAATACTGGTCAGCTTAGCTTTCTCAGATCTTATACTCTGTAATTTACTCATTACATGTATTTTTATTGCATTTCAAGTGCTTTCACCTCAGTTATTTTAGTACCACAGCAGCACTTTGACGATGCCTTTGTATATGGAAGCTTGAAGTTAAAGAATTTGCTGAGACTGTCAAGTTAATGGAAGAGGTGAGACAAAAATCCATGTGAATTAGCTACTTATCCAGGGTTTTTTCTGCTCTTATCACAAGGAATGCTTTGAAAGTGTCTACTTTTGTTACTTCCCTAAGTCAGCTGTGGGGGAAACCATTAAAAATTTGTGAATAACATACTGACAAAAGGACAGTTCTGTGTTACTTGGCATTGTAATGTTTGTGTCTGATAAGATGAAAAAAGATATTAGAAATTTTCCTTTTCCCCCAAACTTTTCAATCACCCTAGTAAGCCAAAGTCTTAAAAATTTTTTAGATCGTACTCATTTACTCTCCCTAACTGAAAGATGTTTCATGTATTCATTATAATAAAGGACTTATCTGCAGAATCTAAAATGACTGTGCTATGGGATTATTTTTCCTCATAGTCTCTTAATTTTTTCTAGTCAGTAAACATGCATACACCTTAAGATCTTCATATATGCTGGTTAAAGACCAATGCTCATCTCCTTCCTGACCACAACACAGAAATCTTTGTCACTTTGCTCCAGAGGATGTGATTCATCTCCAACTCTCACACCTATTTCTTTTCCCCTTGGCCATATAGAAACAAATAGAGAAGCAGAGATCCATGGTACTAGTTGCTAAAGGGAGATGTGTGTTCTTGCGTGTGTGTGTGTGTGTGTGTGTGTGTATGTTAGACTAAACTGAAAACAGTTGAATGATAGCAGATATAGGAAGAAATCTTCCATAACTTCCTTTATTTGACCAAAGCCCCTCAAAAATATAACCACCATTAACTCCCTCCAAAGGAGTCCCCAGACTGGAGATATTTCAAGACAATTGTGAAAATAAACCTTACCTGAATCTGATGCAGGATGCATGTGGGAACTTGCTTCAGTGATGATAGGAATTAAAATTGAGGTAGTAGCATGGATTTACAGGCAAAATCTTATTTTATTTTCTTTGGTACCAGGGATTGAACTCTGAACCTTGCACTTGCGAGGCAGGCATGGCCACACTGAGCTAAATCCCTGGCCACAAAATCTTTATTAGAGAAATGAGAAGGACCTTCCTTGTGAGGGAAGACAAACTGAAAGGGGCATAGCTCTAACGGAGAAAATCAGACTGGCCCATTAACAAAAGAATGAGAATAGCTTTTAGAGGCATCTTAAGATGTTGCATTATCTCATCAATCATTTGTTTACAAAAAAAGAAAAGCTAAAAAATATACTTAAAAAGTGACACCACACCATCACCACCCCCCTACCCCGCCCATAAAGGCATTGCTAGGGTAGACTAGGGGTTTATAATTTTCCATCGGATCATAAGTATGGTGTTTTCAGAGACATGTTTCTTCTGTTGTAGGGGATTTCCTCCTAGTGTAGGTTATGGATCTGCAGCTATTCTTGCCCTCATGTCATTGGATGGGGTCTGAGGAGGTCCTCCAAAGAGGAGTTGGGACCCTCACTCACCCCACCTGTGGAGTAGGTTTAGGTTTGGTGACTTGTATCGCAGAAAAAGAATTTATGAGATGTCAGTGGTGAGAGGTATAAAAGTTTTGTTAGGCAGAATTTTAAAGGTACACATTCTGAGGGAACAGAGTACAAGCCCTCAAAAGAGAGAGATGCTACCGTCTGGGGCTGGGGGCTTCATGTGGTCTTCAGGGCGACTTCAAGGTGGCCATCTAGGATGCATATTTCTAATGCCTGTCAGGCTGCACACTTGGCGGCCTGGGTTAGACTGTAAACCAGTTTCATGTTACGAAATTTAGAAATCTGCTGGCCACTTGAGAAAGCTGCTTTTCTGAAGATGGAGATCTGTGGGAGGAAGCTCAATTTACAGGTGAAAAGTACAGACCCCAATTTACGGACTTATTGTATCCTTAAGCTTCTTAGGGAATTTTTGTTTTGCTTTGTTTTTGTTTTTTGAGTAAGTTTCTTGGAAGGAAAAAGTCATTGTTACCTTGGGTAACTTTAGTATCTTGAAGACACAGTTTTTCCTTGTTTCTTTTTTTCTCTTGGTTTATAAGTTGATTTATTTTTCTAATTTTAAAATATATTTTAATTTTTAAAAAAATAATTTTAAATTGAAAAATATTTTCCCCATTCCCCTGCCCTCCCTTCACCCCCTCCACCCTTCCCTATTTACAAAGACTTTGTTTCCATTTTTTTCCTTTTCTCATATTTTT